CGTCAAACCGTGACGTCACCTGATATGCCAGCTTGGCAGCTGAGCAGAGCAGTAGACAAAACATGAAGAAAATAATGTGTGTGAATGTTGATTATGTGGTGTGTATCTAAAAACACTGTAACACAACAATTCACATTAAGAAAAATATTATGGTTACTTTTACCGTCATAATAACATTTATCCCTGACTGCAGCCTTTCTCTGCTTTAACTAACCTTGCATTTAACAGCCTGAGGAAGACATCCTGGCTACACTAACATCTTCTAATACAACAGATCTCTGAATATCTATCTAACTAAGAAATTACCTAACACCCCTTTATTTTCTCTAATATGATTTTAACACTTCTCAAACTTCTATAGTTCAAAAATACACAGTCTAACTTGTAACAGCTTTTAGAGTGGGTATTAGAATTCTGTTGCTCTTCTCTTGTCTGCAGGGTGACCGAGAAACATTTGAGAACTACTACAGGAAGCAGAGGAAAAAACAGGCAAGGCTAGTGCTGCAGCCACAGGCTAACATGGTGAGCAGCACACATCATGAAACACACATGTAATGTATATTGGTCAGATTCAAATAATTTAATTTTTATTGCCCATATCAGGAAACAGCATTTATGACTTCAGCTCTGTTCTAGTAGACAAACTATTTTAGATGAAGAAGATTTGACATGGAGACGTAGAAAATCTGATTTCTATATAAATGAATAAGAAAATAAGGCAACAATGAGCAGACCTCTCTGGTTCCTGTCACCGGAAAATGCTCTTCAGTTCTTTACTTGAGTAATGTTTGCAGTTTGCTAAAGGAAAAGACACCGTAAAAAAGTCAAAGCACTGAATTCCAGTTTAGACATTAAGCTACTATGCATAGACGTTGAAAATGTCTCTTTGTTGCCCCCGAGTGGTAGTATCAAATGGTGAAATCTAAGTAAGATGAAATATCTAATAGATAGAAGTAATAGATGCTTGTTTTTGTCTACAAGATTTTCCTCTGATTAATTCAGGTCAAAATCTTGACATTTTAGTCCAAAGTTTTTGAATTCTGCATTTTTGCATCATATGTATAAATGCATGATGACTGCCCCTCCACTGGCTGAAACCCTGCTACTGCAGTTGAATTATGCTGATGGCTGATCTGGTGATGTGTATGGTGGCAGCTTTCATCACCACAACCCAACCTCCCTACACTTCCTTATCTATCTCCACGCCCCCTCCTAACAAATTACTGTCTCCTCTCCTGCGGATGTGATCAGACTGTGGAGAGTCAGGAGTTAGAAATGCATGGATTGAGTATTTATTGCTCAGCAGAGGAAGCACACAAAACTTATGAAAATCTGCTGTTTTCAGAGCTTAACAAAATATTTAGATTTGATGAATAGTAAATGAGAAACAGTGGTGCTATGTTACTGACAGTTGAGGGGCACACACAGGAAGGCCTCTCCTATAGTGCTGCTAGGTCGGGTGTCTGTGCAGTGAGGCTAAAAATGATGTAATTATATATACAGTAATGTGCACATTGCTAAGAGTTAAAATCTACTTCTGGTTTTGGTTTCTTGTATTAATTTGGTTCACTTTGGAAACCAGCTCTCAAGTTTTGGATCTCTGAATTTTACTGGAACAAATGCACATAAATTATAGCACATGCTCATAAAATGTGTATAATTTTTTTCATGTTAATACCATATGTAAATATGACTTTCTGTGTGTGTCCAGCATGAGACAGTTGAAGGCTACACAAGGTACTTCAATCAGATTGTAGGGTAAGCGTTTCTTCCTATTTTACCCCATTGTCACAGTATAGAATTTTACCTTTAATATTAACAGTCTGCTGAATTTCAAAACTCACTTTTATTAGTGTGTCAGTCAGTTTATGTTTGCTTTAATGTAGACGTGCATAAATAAAAGTTTTGATATGTGTGTGTTTTCTGTGTGCATGCATCATCAGGTTTTTTGTTGTGGAGGACCATATCCTCCATGCCACTCGGGGGCTGGTGACCAGAGCCTTCAATGATGAACTGTGGAACATGGCCCTTTCCAAGATCATCGCTGTTCTCCGCACGCACTCTGTAGGCTCTTACACATCAACAACTGCATGAACACACACACACACAGAGCCAGCAGGGAGTTGACTGTGAATGAGAAGGAGACTGTTAAGAGTTAATAGAGGTAATGGTGCCTGCTGTGGATCTATTTATCCTAGAAGAAGCTTCATTCACTGACTGACAGACACAGAAAACACTGTGGAGGTCAGTGCACCCACAAACAATGATGTGACTCTCAAGAGACAAGGTCAAAACACATATACGCATGCATCCAAAGAGGAGGTCATCGGAGCCTTAATGAGGGACAGATTGCAACAATAACAGCAGATTAAAGAGGCGTATACCTGACCACTGGGCTCCAGTCACTTGTAAATGACCCAGAGGATTATGTTAACAGAGCAGAGAAAGGGCCACACAGTGTGGGGTGAGGGGAAAATAAGTCCCTGGTTTCCTGCAGCCCCTCTGCTGGGCCACAACAGAGGCAGCTTCATGCTGCCAGATTCCTGTGCTTACAACAACTGTGGGGTCAGCCTATAGAGAGAAAGTGTCTTTGACACACC